ATACAAAACATATGAGGGTCGAAAACGACCCGATCTGACAAGAAAGTCCCAAAATTAGAAATATGTTTCTGATTTTAGCAGGGACTGTTAAACAAGTGCAAGTTGGGGTGGATTGGACTTTTAATGAAAAAAATGGAATTTCAATATTGAATATGTGATTTTTTGCCGATGTCTCACAATGATTTTTCGGATGCTAAAAAAACGGTTAAAAAGAAAAAAATCGATATAATCCATACAATGATTTTTAGATAGGATAGATGCGTAAGATCTCCGCAAGATCCGGATCCAAGCGTGCGTACGCTGCCGCATGATGCATACATATATAATACGCACGCAAATTCGTTATTCTTATTTCCCCTTCTTTGATTCGCATGCCATAGCATTACGGAGTAAGGAATGTATGTATCATGCGGCTACGTACGCACGCGTGGATCCGGATCTTGCGGAGATCTTACGGATCTATTCTATCCAAAAATCATTGTATGATATAATCCCTTTATGTGATTTTTTCGCTGTATTTTCAAATGACATGTAGATGGTTTTTAATTTACATAAGACTGAAACAGCAAAATCTTTCAATTTATTCAAATAGTATATGCTATATTAAAAAAATCTATAAAAAACAACCCCTAGATATTTATTTCTTCTGATTTGTTTTTTCTTGCCAATTGCCTTCAAGCAACCCAAAGCAAAATATATCGAGTTTAATGGACAATGTGCTTTTTGAATATTAACACAAATGCTAATGACTAATATTTTCTTATACGTGACATATCGGCAAAGTATCAATCGGTCATTTATCTAAATCAATATTATGCATCCGGTTCATAACAAATTTCTTTAGAAAGTGGTGATTTCAACCATAGCTGTCCACGAACGTTCGTTCGTTCGTTCGTGGAATATTTTTTTGATGTTTTCGTTCGTTCGATCGTTCGTTCGTTCGTTCTTAGAAAATGAGTTGTTCGGATTGTTCGTTCGTATGTTCGTACGAACAACGAACAACGAACACGTTCGTTCGTTCGTAACCCGTGTACAAAAAAAGTGACTGACTATTTTGGGACAAACTGACTGACTGTTGACTGTAAAAACAAGCAACCTTAGTTAAATTTATTTAACTTCAATCAATTAAAGTAAGCTATGGTTAACTGCAACAGCTAACTATAGTTGACAATAATCATAGTCACCCGATAGTCAAAACATCCCAAAATAATCGCCTGACTGACTGGGTAACTATAGTCGATTGTTTTCATAGCTGGGCAGACAGGGGGGGAGGGGGAGGATTACCCCCTCCTGAGGCATCAAATTTTAGCGTTACCCCTTTACAAAATCAACAAATTTTTGCGTTACCCCTTTACAAATTCATAATTTTGGATAGAATTTTTCTCATTTTGCTAGGGTTTTTGAATCATAGATGAAATTTTCCTATTTTGCTAGGAGTTTTTGAGAAAATTACCCCCCCAATCCCCCCCCTGAATTTTTCAGTCTGCCCAGCTATGATTGTTTTCCATACAAAATTTTAAAATTCATGAATATAGCTAACTATAGTCACTTACAGTCAATAGTAACTTAGTCACTTTTTTTCCACTCGGGAATTTATGGAAATTTATTTTCTCAATGACAGTGTACACAAATATTGCGATAATAACTGTAAATTGGGATAACTTTAAATCGATTTTTCCCACTTTTCCGATCAATACCAAAATTCACAAAATATAATCTACTTTCGATTTCACTAATAAAATAATTATTTTATTTTCATACTTTTCCTACGAACAACGAACGAACAAACGAACGAACGAACACCTTACGAACAATCCGAACATTTTATTTTCTACGAACGAACGCAATTCATTTCTACGAACGAACGAACGAACGTTCGTTGACAGCTCTGCCTACGGGAGTCAACATTCTGCTTATTTTCCACGATTTCCCACCGGAAAAGCGGGAAAAATCGATTCAAAGTTTTTCCAATTTACATTTATTATCGCAATAATGAATTAATAATTTATTTTCTCAATGTAAACAAACATTTATTATCGCAATATTTGTTTACACTGAGAAAATAAATTTCCAGAAATTACGAACGAACGAACGTGTTCGTTGTTCGTTGTTCGTACGAACATACGAACGAACAATCCGAACAATTCATTTTCTACGAACGAACGAACGAACAAAATATACATTGAAAACGAACGAACGGTTCGTTCGTTGGTGTTCGTGGACAGCTATGATTTCAACGTATTCCAATGCATCCCATTTGCGGCCCTTTGTTTGAAAAATTCGATAACCTCATTTTTAGCACAGTTGGCACCAGCTGAAAATACCGAAAATTGTTTTTCTCTGTAAAAAATATGTGTCAAATACGTTGAACGATATCAAATATTTTTGTATTTAAGTTGATTCCATGCCAAAGAATTTGTGTTTCGACCAAAGAAGAATTGTGTTTTTGTTTTGTTCTTAATGCATCGTGAAAATCTTATTTCGTAAAACACTGACATTATTAAATGTCCAATAAAACGATGTTAATTTCCGCAAAAGAAAAACGACCATTGCTAATGTGTTACGATTTCTCGCAATTTCGTATATTCGGTTCCAATGCGCACAAATACACACACTTATAAGCATTAGGTATATGTCATAATGCTCAGTTTTATCCTTTTTTTTCAAATTCAATTGGCAATGTGTTTTAAAATTTTTGGCCAAACCGAACGAGTGTATAGTCGGTTTGTTTACATGTATTGCATACATTTGATTTGAATGGCGTCACGTTTTAAGCGGATATTGAATTCAATTGGCAGCTTTTTAGTATTCATAAAGCAGTTTTAGTACTTTTTTGCTTCGGTTTCTTCGAATCGGTTTTTCTCCATCCACCTGCGATGCTTCCTTTTTTATTTGTTGAGGGTTGTCAAACTCAATCGCGATTCCAATGCTTTCAATAAATCGTGTAAAACAAGAAAAATGGAAATATAAATAAATAGCCGGATGATAGCAAAATATTTGAATCGAATTGAGAGAAGCTTACAGTCTTACGACTTTTGTGTGTCATTTTGTTGAGGAAGCGTTTAATCTTTTTTTTTGCTCGAAAAAAAATGCCCAAGGAATTCTCCGAACGCAAAGGAACAGTGCAACATAATGGACAAGAAGAACCATAACTATAGCAGCAGCAGCACCAATGAAGAGACACCGAGACGTGAATAGATCGTAAGAGTGCTTAAAGCTGTTCATAGATAAAGAACGAAATATTGTACAAACGATATTAGATACATATTCATGAGTGTTCTTGAGTGCCGCTCTTGCAAGCAAAATGCCAAGCATGTCTACGGATTGCCATCGTACGTCGTGTGGCCCAACCAATCGATAATCGATTCCATTTATTATTATTTTTCGAGTCTATTCGTATATTTCTTTTTGTCGTTGTTCTACTTTCTACACCATTCGGTAATCTTCAATTTTCTCTCGTTCGGTTTTCAGTTTCAAGCACAATGATTTTGTCATTTCAATGGACACAACCATACTCACGAATATTTCGCATATACAACATTACAACTTGACGAAAATGTTGGAAAGAAAATCCAAAGTCTGATAAAAATAAATTGCTGAAGATTTTCCGTTCGACAACTTTTATGGTTCGTTTTGTTTCGATTTCGCAATCACATGTGACGATGGAAATGGAAAAAAAATTGAAAAGACTAAAACAGAGAAAACGACATCAATACTTGAAAATTGAAATAAATGTTCAAATGTTTTGTTTCGTTTACGTTCCGGTGCACGGTGATTCTACAGGTGGAAATAACGTAACATTTTGTTGAAGTCGGTGCTTTGCGTTTTTTTATGTTCTCAACTTTTTGCCATCAATTTTTATTCCCTTCTTTGCCCTATTGCAAAGTCTCTGTTTACCTTTGTAATGGTGGTTTTCTGAACCTTTTTTTATTCTTGATGGATTGCCATTTTTGATGCGATCAATCCCTTCGGATTGCAATAAGATGATGATGATTTATGGTGGAATGCTTGCAATAGTATCGCACTCTATTCGATGAAGTGGTCAATGTAATAGAGTGCACTTTTTATCCATTGGTAATGGTACGACGGCGGCAGAAATTCTACACCATTCATTATGCTTCGAAAGAATTTAATAAACACTTTTTTCCAATCAACGTTAATGATTCCTTTTCATAACTTGTACTTCAACAAACACCTATACACTTAACGAGACTACATTTTTCATAAAAGTAATTTAAAATGTTTCAACTCATTCATTCATCTCCGGTATCAATATTGAAAATTGGCTCTCATTACTTTCACTATGCATTTTATGAGCTGGAAAAAAATGATGCAATATGATTCGATTCGCAGTTTTCAAAGTTGTGATGTCGCTAATGATTTTTCCGTCTTTCTACCGACTATCAATCTATCCATACCTTTGATAACGTCTTGACGTTCAAAAGGTTAATTAGTTTTCTGCGATGGATCGTTTTTCATTATTGATATGACATTTTTTATGGATTTCCCTATGAAAGTTGAAAAAAAAATGCATTCAACATTTATTATAATTTAAAATCGCATGCTGCATGCTATTTTTGTGAAACATTCGTTTTTTCTTTTTTTCCGTTGCTGAGCCTAAGCTTTCTCTCAATATTTTCATTAAACTATGTTTCCCCATTCAAGTCAATATTTTGATATAATATTCGGAAAAATGATGTGTATAATATTTTTTGTTTTCTTTTTCACTAGTTTGAGATTCTTTGTGTGCACATTCAAATTGGTATTTGTATATTTTCGTTGAACATTTTCCATTCGATATTTTTCCAATAGGAATCGTTTGCTGTGAGTTTATTGTTTCCCGCGATTAGCCAATGCACAAACCCAGCGCGTCTAGAACTGTCATCGACTCGTTTCACATGCATACAATGGTATTTGTTGACACTTTTCAATGCCAAGGAAACAAACTGGAGTGTATTTTCATCGCACCAATACATTCGCATCTCAGTTGTCATCAAAAAGTGAAAGTTGAGTTTGCACGCTTGTGAAAAATGATAATAAAATACACATAAATTCTAAAAAGAACGATGATAACGAGTCGAAAATTTGAGTAGCTGGCATTTATTTTTGCCAGGGTGATTGGTGGTGATAGTATCGGTTGAAGTGTGCTCAAAACGTTATGAATATTGCACAAATATTACAAAATTTATTTGAAGTATATCCTTCATCAACATGTACACGAAACTTCAATGACCTGAGCTATGAAGAGTACGTGCAACAGATCCGTTGTTATGATTCCATTACAATTTTATCGATTACTATATAAGCTTCAAATTTAATGTAAACTTTTTTGATTATTATTTGTTTTTCTCATAGGCACGTACATGAGTTCAGTTCGTGGATCAAAAATAAACTCAATGGTATTCAACAGCAATGTGGTTCGATAAAGGTTTTGTCTGAAGGTCGTTTAGGTCCATCCAAAGTGGTGTTTGTTGTTGATGATCAGAATGACACTAACCATTTGGCGAAAATTTCCAAAGATAAATTAACGATTCAATCGCAAAGTGCTTTTTGTACGTTGAAAGCGAACTGCTGTGTGTACAAAGGAAAATGGATGTATGAGGTTAGTGTTTATCGATTTTTCAACACACCTCTTTTCAGATGTATGCCATTCTAAATCGCTAATTGGTCATTGTTTTGCAGGTGCAGCTTCGGTCGAAAGGTGTTATGCAAATTGGTTGGTGCTCTTCTAAATGCACATTCACGCAAGATACTGGAGTGGGCGACACAAAGAATAGTTATGGTTTTGATGGTAGCAAACAACGTGTATGGCATGTGCACACGCGAAAATATGGGCCTTATTGGAGGAGTGGAGACGTATTTGGTGTTTGTTTAGACATGGATGATGGCAAAATCGAATATTATCGAAATGGTGTGGGTTTGGGTGTTGCTTTTGATGATGTGAATCGAGGGCCTGGCATCGCCCTCTTTCCAGCTATGTCACTTGCATTTGATGATAGTTTATCGGCAAATTTTGGCGGTTCACCATTTCGGCATCCCATTGAAGGATATAGTCCATTGCAAATGAACCCAGCAGTAAAACTCGAAAAGGCCGAATTTCTTTTGAATCATTTGGTGAATATTTCACGCATTATTTCAACGAATCGACCGCAAAAAATTCGTTCAAACAAAGATGTTTCGGCTGACACGACATATGCATTACTCGCATCATTACTGATCAACGAACTCGCACCCATTCTTTGTAATAGTTATGTGATCGAGGAGAAAGTATTCAAACATGTGAAGGGCATGTGCGTGATTCGGACCAATATCGATTCAAATAATGTCATTTACCCCGGTCTGACCGAAAGTACACTCGGCACGTTTCTTTCACTTCTTTGGAATTTTCAGAGTGATATTATGAAGTGTTTCTTAAGCAAGTTTGTTAACTTTTTATCGAGCATGTATCGAGAGGTGAGCGAACTGACAAATTTATTCACAAAAATCACAATTATTAATTTCATTTCCATTCACTTTAGACTCCGATTGATTTGAATTACGAAAAACAACGAATTGTAATTGTTGTATTGTCATGCATTTGCAATCATCCGGCTACACGGAAATATCTCATGGAGTACAAATTCTTCAAAAAAAACTTGTAAGAAATCTGTTTTCATCAAATGATTTTACATATATTTAATCAATTTTAATTGTTTTTGTCAACAGATTGCCCATATTTTTATATATCAAACCACCGGATGAGTCGACGTTAGCCGATTTGATACCCGATGAAAATGTTTGGACGAACGGAATGGAAACGTCGAAAGACGCATACATGAACGACTGTCAAAAATTGAACACATGTACCGACGCACTTTATACGCTTCAGAAAAATTTAGTGGAAAAATTGCTAGATAACACCGATGGAAATGAGTTGTCGCCGTCAAGTCGAAAGATATTCATTACAAAACTGCGTAAATATATGGTGGAAAATAGTGTGGAACATCGTACGATCTATTTTCTCGAAGGCATTTCGTATGCACCACCAACACAGCCAGCAGTCGCATTATCGTTCTTATGTATTTTGCTTGATGTTCTGAAGAAATTGTATGCCAATGAACTGCCTGATTGTGATGCATTTGTGACACCGCAAACATTTTACGATGGATCACTCAAATATTTTCATTTCGATCGAGTTGGCGGGGTTCTCACTCATTTACAACGACACTATCGACAAGAATTACAAACACGTCTGGGAAGTGAACACAATTCATTTGAAAATGAAAGCGATCCCGTTTCGGGCGTTTATGGCGGCGTTGAACTCAGTGATATTTGTAAGACAACGCAAAATGTAATTTCTTGTTATCATTTCTTCTAAAATGTTGTGTACTTTCTTATCTTCTTATAGACTCTGCGATGTTTCTGTTAACGGGTAATTCTAGATCTCCGCTCAATTCACTTCGTTCATCGGCTGAAGTTCGATCATCCGATTTGTTGAGCGCATTGAACGGAGGCATAAACGTAGCCAATGGAAGTAGTTCAACATTTACAAAAATTGCCGAAGCACCAATCAAACCAGGTGAAGTCAACGCACAAGATTCACTGAAAAACTTATTGGACTGTTGCATTCTGTACTACTATGCTGTTGCACACAAATATATTATCATGGTAAGTGATTCACATTGAATCTGTGCATATAGAGAGAGATTTACTCAATTTTGGTTTGTTTGTGTTAGATTGCCGACCTTCGTGACAGTATTGGAACGTTATCTGAAATTCTATGTGAAACGAAAATAACTTACGACGTGTTAATACGAACGATGGAGACGGTGAGCAGCGACTCGATGATTAGTTCAACGCATGGCGATGTTCTGAAAGATCTACACGATAAATTGACGGAACGAAGACAAGTGTTTTTGAAACGTTCGACTGAACTGTCCCGCAAACAGGCATGGTATCGTTCTGTGGCGTTGGGTAAATTTCGCCGAAATTTGTTGTGTTGGATGTTGAACGCCGTTGTACGTACATTAAAAGAAGCATCTGAAGAGGGTGATTTATTCGCATTCGTACCAGAATTCTATCTAAATATCCTACCCATTCTATTGGATACAATTATGGACTTTAGTTTCCATGACTTGAACCTACAAAATGACTTATCAGGTACTATTATATCGTAACCTTATCACTGCATGCAATGTAAACGATTTTCAACAACGTCAAAAACTAAAATGTAAATTTCGATTTCAGATTGCTCCTCGGTTATAATGTCGGCGGCTGAATTTTTATGTTCTAAAGCAGCAAATTCACGAGTGGTACTGGCCTCATGTAAAGACGCTCTACTTCAAGCTCTCGGTACACTGACGTGTCATGAGGCTGGAATTCGTGCACTTGAATCCTGTTCGGCAATGCATCAAACTACTCTAATAAGTTCCTTATTGCGACCGTATCAAGGACGGGCTTGGGGCCAATCGAACTGGCTGATCCTTCGATTTTGGCTCGGATGCGGATTTTGCTATCGAGACGGCCGACATCCGTCGATTTTTCAAGATGGTACGCGAACTCCGTCCAATCTAGGGCTTTTTCGAAGCCGAGGAAAAAATGGTTCTACTGGTCTATTGCACCATATCGGTATGTTAATTCCATCACATCTAACAAATGCGGATATAAACTATTACTAGTAACTTATATATTTTCATTGCAGCTCCAAGCAGTCCAAGTGTGCATTTTCAGCAATTGATAGCCGAATTGCTTATGAAAGATGAACCGTTTAGCACCACACTGATTAATTCAATCTTGTCGCAATTGAATTGGGCATTCTCTGAATTCGTGCTACTTTTGCAAGAAATCCAAAATGGAATGCAACGTCAAGATCGATCGAATGCCGCTTACGAATCAAGACAGTCGAAAATATGTTCCATGTGCTTTGAGCTTACCGTCTCCTTAATGCGAACGCTTGAAATGATGATTAATATAGCGCCGGCTGTTTTTGTCGATGCAGAACGACCCAATAGTATAACATTATTGAATCGTGTATGCCAATTAATCAGTCAAGT